GCCTGACCGTATCGCGGGCTCAGGTAGCGACTCACTTAGTTTGACTGATTTTTTAAGTTATCTGCTGACAAGTTGCTACTTTTCGAATTATTGCAGGCTCGAGTTCAATTTTGATAAAATGCATATGAAATAAGTCGTGTTCATGAGCCGCACTTTTAAAATTTTGATATCCAACTGACCTCGGACGCGAAAATCCAACCGGCTTTTACATGTTTTTGACTTTTCTCACCATAGTCACGCGTGGGTCACGCTCTACGTCCAATTCTTATGTTCTGATTGGTCAAAATTTGACAGGTGAGTTCATGCGGAATTTTTATGCAGCATCTGGAAACTTGTTCACTGATAGCTGAAGCTGACAGAGTTTTGTGTCATCTTGTGATGTTTTTAACTGTCTTTTTCTGTTGGAAGTACAAAATGAAATCCAGCTGCTATCAAGATTCTTCTGTAATTCATGGCTGGTTTGTTTATTGCGGTTTTGTTTGAGAAATGTGTTACCCTTGTTTCATGAGTCCACAAATAAACCGTAAAACGTCTTTACACTTCACATGCTTCGCACTTTTATTCCGTTTCTTTATCTCTCTTCACTCGTTCAGCTCGCGCTCTCTTCTGATAACCCGGATGAGCTACGTCATACACAAGACTCGTTTCCGCTTCCCGTTGTTTTTTTTTTCAGTACAATCTCTACATGTAACACACATCCCCTCCGAGGAAAAGTGTCGTCCCTGACACGTAATGAAAATGTGAAAGAAAAATCACGACAGTAAACTAGAGGGATAATTCTCCTAAGGAAATGCTACAAAATAGTCCACGTTTTCCGCACAATGAAACTGACTTAAAGGATTCTTTCATCTTTGACTCATTTCAGCTTCTACGTAGTTACATTGGTACCAATAATCCATAAAGGCTGCAGCCATTCAGTGTTCTGGCAACATTTCCTATCCTGAGGGCTCACCCTCCTTAAAGTTCTACTTATTTCTGACTGTGTCGAGAGCGAGAAAAAGGAATCTAATTGTTTTTGTTTTTTGGTCTTTTCGTTTTTTTTTTTTTACAAAACGAAACAAAGGTTTTTGTCAAACAGCAGTCTTAGAATGTAAGGCTGGGCATTTGTACGTGTCCATAGGCCATTGGGTACACTGCATGGCAACCAACGTTCACTGGGTAACTAAAGTTTGCTGAAGGCATCCCTTGGTAGCCAAAATGGGGAAATGGGGTCAACGGTTGCATGACCATCGGTGACATGGGCTGCCAGGTAGCTGGTAAACTTGTTTTCCACGCAGGAGGAGAACCTTCGGGCAGATGGAGTGCTTGGTAACGGTACACTGTCATTGGTGAGTGATTGCACAACAGCTCGAGCCCGGTACACTGGGTTTCCAAAAGTGTCATAAATCAAGACCGTTGGGGCATGTCTGTCACGCTGAGATCTAGACTCTGCTACAGAGGTTCGTTCCTGACTAGTGTTACCAGGGGACGATGGTCCTGCCTCATTCTCACTTGCTTCAGGGAGGGGTGATGTCTCCTCTACAGGGGGGTGATGTTCCTGCTCTTCATCTGCCGAGCAACCGCCTTCTCCCTCTCCTCTGTCTGAGACGGTTGCTGATTCCCAGGCAATATCCTCAGAGACTGACTCCGCGAAATGGTCAGTTTGCGGTCCTGGTGGCCGTTCAGGTTCTAACTAGTAATCCTCACTTTCGTCTTCTGACGGCTCTTCCACAAGTGTTGTAGGCGCGTGATTTGTCTCTCTCATAATTTCTTTCCGAGACTTCTGTCTGTGAGGGGTCTTACTCTCAACATCTACTGGGAGATGGTTGCATGGCAGCAACAAGTTTCTGTGTAGAATTCGTGTCCCACCAAGACCGGTGTCAGGTTTGACCTGATAGACTGGACTGTCCTCACCTTTACGACTAACCACCACATGAATTCGGTCTTCCCAGTGCGAGCGAGGTTTACCTGGGCCGCCCCGTTCGCTTAAATTCCGCACAAGCACTCTATCTCCGGGTTGCAACACTGAACTTCGGACATAATGATCATAGCGTTGTTTGGCTCTGTCGCTCCCTTCGTTTTGCTTGCTAGTTCATAGGCCTCTGACATTGCCTTCTGCCACTGCGCTGCATATTGAGTATGGCTGCCTTGGTTACCTGTCCTGTCAATGCCAAAGAGCAGATCAATTGGCAGACGAGGGTGGCGGTCAAACAGCAGATAAAAAGGAGAGAAGCCAATAGTCTCGTTCTTCGTGCAATTATATGCATGTACGAGTTGATTAAGGTGATCTGCCCACCGTGATTTCTGTGTCTCTGGTAGGGTGCGAAGCGTATTCAACAAAGTGCGGTTGCATCGTTCAACCTGTCCGTCCCCTTTTTGGATGATAACGGTTGGTGCGGGAGTGTCCCACGCCCCACAACTTCTCTAGCTCTCGGTGAAGGCGATTTTCGAACCCTCCTCCCTGGTCATGGTGAATCGTCAAAGGAAAGCCGAATCGAAGAACGAAATCATTGTAAAGCTTCTCAGCGACTGTTCCGGCTGACTTGTTCTTTGTGGCATAAGCTTGCGCATAGCGAGTATAATGGTCCATCACAACAAGAATATATTCGTACCTTCCACTGCTCTTCTCCAGATGGAGAAAGTCGATAGCAATCACTTCGAACGGTGCAGTAGTGGTGATGGGTTGTAATGGAGCCCTAATCTTGAGAGTGGGAGGTTTATGTTTAACACATTGACAGACATGCCCAATATAGTGCTCAATGTCGCTCTGCATGTGTGGCCAATAGAAGCGCTCTCTGGCTAGGTGTAAAGTGCGATCCGCTCCGAGATGACCCATTTTCTCATGCAACTCCTTAAGAATTAGTGAGCGCAGTTTTTTGGAATGATGATTTGAGTACGACTTCTTGTACACCGTTGTAGTATCCCATCCTTGTCAACTGACAGGCTATTCCATTCATGAAGGAGCAGCTGCACATCCCTTGGCTCTTTCTTCCTCTCGGCTGTCGTTGGGCGCAATCCACACTGAATCAACTCTCTTTCTCGATTGATGACTGGATCCGCAGATTGTTCTTTTTTAACGTAAAGTTGCGGTACACTAGGTTTTCCTCCATCATACATATCTGATTCGAGTGTAGGGTCTCCTGAAAGAGCTCAGATCCAATTCACACGACAGTCTGGAGGACTTCATGCGGTATAACCTCTGTGCACGACTCTATATAAGCAATATCATCAAGCGCCATTCGCGACAATGTATCAGCATCAATGGTCGCTTTTCCCTGTCGGTAGTGAATTGTGAAATTAAAATCAGCCAAGTCACCTATCCAGCGAAGGCCTGTGGCGTTAAGTTATGCCGAAGACAGGACATAAGTAAGCGGATTATTATCTGTGTACACTTTGAAGCTTGGGGCGTAATAAAGATAATCTCTAAACTGGTCACAGATGGCCCATTTTAGTGCAAGGGACTCCAGCTTTCCAGAGTGTAAGTGGTAATTCTTCTCGGCAGGAGTCAAAGTGCGTGACCCATAAGCAACAACGCGAAGGATATCATTTCGGTGGTGGTAAAGCACAGCACCAAGTCCATCCTTAGAGGCATCTGTATGAACGACAAACGGTTTCTCAAAGTTTGAGTAGGCCATGACTGGAGCACTCGTCAGACAATCAATAAGTTTATCTAGTGCGGATTGGTGAGAGCTTGTCCAGACAACTGGGTGCCTTGGCGGTAACTGTGGAGGGTTCCTCTTGCTTTGCCTTGTTTTTTCTCTCATGGACTCTTCAGAAGGGTGATCTGTTATGCTGACTAAACCATAGATTGGTTTTGCAATTTTTGAGAAGTTCTTTATATACCGACGATAGTAGTTTAAGAACCCCGTAAGTTTGCGCACTTCATTAATTGTCTTTAAAAGCACTGGCTTGATACTGGAGGGATCTAGCTTGTAGCCCTCCTCAGACACCACGCGTCCAAGAAATACAACTTCTTTTTTGAACAGTTTACACTTCCGCGGTTTGAGTTTACCTCCATGCTCTAGCAGCCGACGCAGGACTTTGCGTGTATGTTCAACATGTTCCTCAAATGACGCACTGAATATGATTATATCGTCCAGATAAGGTATACAAACAGTATCTCGTAAGTCTCCTAGACAGTTCTCCATAAATCGTTGGAAAGCCCCTCGGTCCGAATGGGATCCGTACCCATTCGTAAAGACCCCATGGAGTGAAAAATGCTGTATGAGGTTGACTTTTAGCGCTCATGAATCCTATGGTAAGCTTTGCCCTGGTCTAGTACTGAAAACCAAGAGTTCTCACCGAGATTATCTAAAGTCTCTTGTATCGTCGGTATCGGGTGGCGATCAGGTCGCGTTTTCTTGTTCAGTGCTCTGTAATCCACGCATAGCCGCAAAGTTTGGTCCTTCTTTCTGACACAAACAACCGGTGAACTGTAGGACGAGGAGGACTTTCGGATGAAATAACGGTTTAATAAATCTTCAATATAAGCCTTTACCTCTGGGTATAGTGGTTTTGGCACTGCCACATAGTTCTTCTGAACAGGGGTTTGATCCTCAAGGTCTCTGATACAGCCAACATTACTGTCATCCCTTGCAAATGAATCTGCTTCCTCGGTAAGTAATTTAAGTGCCAAGTCCTTCTGATGGGCATTGAGACCACTTAGGTCTATGTCCTTTATGTGTGATGAAGTACTCAAAGGTTCTTCAGCTGGTGGGGGTATAAGCGGTGGGCCTCCGGCGTTTCCAGTACATGTTGTAGCCTGATCAGCAACTTTTGCCTCTGTACTCTCTTCATCAGGTGCTTTCATGTTCCCATTTGAGTCCTTTAACCTAACTTCTACTGGTGTAGCTGATTGTACAAGTTGTAGTCACCCGAGCAAGGTTCGTCCCGGACGTCTGATATCATGGTTGGTATTGTTAACTATGTCAATTTCCACTTTACGTGATTTCCCTTTCTTTACAGTCAACAAAGTCTCTGTAATCTCCAGCCTGCTAGGCCATGGGTTAGACTCATCCGGTTCAAACAGTACTGGAGTAGTTCTCTCTACAGGCCCTGTGTTTGCCCTGCAAGTCACACTTTGACTTTGTCTGGGAGTTAAAGGAGAGATCACTTTGATTACGGCTTTGGATAAAATTCACTAATGCTGAAGCATTTTTACCATTTAACTTAGTAAAACTTGAAGTAATTTCTTGATGTAGCTCAACATCCTCACTACTGGTTTTAACAATCTCCTCAATCACATTAAAGCCGATTATTGGCGTGTCCAATGATTGGTCTGTAACAAGAAAGGGAACTGCCAATTCCACCTTAGACGACAACAGCCTAAAGTTAAGCTCCATCCATCCTACGTATGGCATCCCACCACCATTGGCTGCGGTCAGGTTCAGTTCAGAATTTAACAACTCTGATATGTTCTTAATAGTGATCCCAGGGAAATTCCTTCTTAATACACCTGGGCCCCAGTGTCCCAAAGTACATCTACCTGCTGTACACCTCTTTCCTACTAATCCTACTACTGTGGCATGCTGCTGTGGTGTCAGGTGACTGACAAAGGTGCTACTACTGAGGTCCGCATTCTCTTGTTTTCCTGTGTTTGACAGGTACTCAATTGCATTGCACAACACTTTGTGTTCCTGCCAGTGTTTCTTCTGACAATTCCGGCTACAATACTTGCACTTTGAACATTGTAAGAACTTTGCCCTTTCTGACTGAACTTTCCAACAACCATTACATCGGAGGGACTTGTTACTACTGTTGTCAACTATTCCGCGTCCCGCCGGAATAGTCCTCAACCGTTTCCCTGTTGACTACCTCGGTTGTTGTTACGGTAAGATGCCCGAGCCACATGCCCCGAGTCACCACAAGCAAAGCAATGATTACATTCATCTCCTCTTCCCCTCTGCTTGCTTGCAATTCTGAGAACTTGTACGATTTGGCTGATAACCACAAGCACGGCCCATGTAGGATGGCCCACGCCAGTTAGAATTTTCTGCTTGGCTCCCTCGGCGATTGACGTGATCCTTGAGATCATTTATCTCTGACTTGATCTGACGGATCTCTAGTAAAAACTGTTGACCTCCATCTGTAGTTGCATTCTTAGCTCTTGCTTCTCTCTCTTCTTTGCCTACCTCACATGCATGAACTTTGGCAGACTTTTGGCGTTCACTAGGCAGCTTGGAACTCCTTTCTGCTTGTTTGCGAAGCTAATTCATTCACTTGACGCATGATCTCTTCATCGGTGAGTTCTGAGGTGCGTAAGGTGGGTCTTAGGTTAGATGCAAGAATGTCATCACGAAGACCAGTTTCAAATGATTTTACAAAGGTTTTCTGAATCAGGGATGCGCCATAATTGAACTCACAATCTGACTCCTGGCTTGCAAAATTCACCTTGTTACGCAAATCCAGCGCACGGAGAAGAAACTGTTGTGGGGATTCACTCCCTTGTTGGCATACGGTTGCCAATTGCTGATATACTTCTCAGGCTGTTTTCTCTCTATAATGCACACGAAGGATCCTTCGTAGCTTAGCCAGTCTGAGTCTCAACATAGCTCCTAAGACTACTGTGTGGTGAGATGACACGAATCACTGCATCTACAATTTCATTTTCTTATTAATCACGTTTAGCCCTGAGTCTATTTGGTGCATTAACGAAACAAAAGTTAGTTTCTCTGTTTGCCCTGGTTCGCCTGGTTCGCCGACGTAGTTTTCACTAACTGGCTCAATACCTCTTCCATCCCCTTATTTGTTTAGGTACTCCGTCAGAAGATTGTTTCTCCGTTTTTACTCCTGAAGCTACTGGTGTTTGCTCTACCTCTACGAGGGGCGGTACAATGCCGGTCACAAAAGCAAGTAACTGTTCGAGGCACGTTCGCGCTTCCTTTTCATCGCCCACCATTTTGCTGACGATGGTTCTTTGCATCTTACTTTTACCCGAAAAGTCATCGTCGATTCCTAATAGTTCTATCATTTCAGCCAAACCCTTCTCATCTTGTTCGAACAATCGAGATTCTACTGGGAGTTGTAATTGCTCCATAATTAATTCTGCCCGCGAAAGCTTATTTCCAAACTGAACACAAGTAACCTAACGCAAACGCTGTAATTCCGGTAACAGTGAGCCGACAGAACAAATCAACTCATCCACTTCGCCAAACACAAAACAACTAGCGAATGTACTTCACCGTTACAGGGCCCAAAATTGTAAAGTCCTACCGTACGCATCTGACTGTTTCGGTTGCCGCTTGTCTCCTCAACTGCAAATCCACGTGTTCATACCGCTCCACTCACAATCTCCTTAGCTTCAATTCTGACCATTTCTGCTTCCCTTGACAACAAATAACTTCCCACGAGGAAGAATGCTCTTCGAATACCGAATAGCTAAGAAATGACACGATTTTCATCCTTGTTGTAGATGGTTGCACCATCTTGTTATTCACGAGGCTGTCACGAGTTAGTCTACATAATGAAATAGTCTTTAACTCTGACGACTTGATTCTACAGGTGTTATAGGTTTTTGCCTCTTGGCAGAAAAGAGCCTTTACTCAAGGCACCAGTTACAAAACTAAAGAAATCTTCATACGTTCAAGTTACTATAATGCGAGAAGCCAGTCTGTGTAAGATGTGCAGTCACAAAGTTTGCACGTGTTGGACTTTGCCCCTTGTGTGGTTCGTACGCGAGGGAATTCGAGTCAACAGACAGTAATCTAGTGGGCAGGATTGTAATGATAACTCATGCATACAATTTGCCCGAGTAGATGTTTTGGATTTTGTTCCTTTTACGATTCCGGAACGTAAAGGAACGCAAATTGGTAACAAGAAACTTTGCTCAAACGATTTTGCAACATCTGCAGTTAAATTATGCTTTTGTTGAACGTCAAGGTTGATAGCGTAACATTTATTTACTTTCAAGAAAATTGTCAAACCGCCGAAATGTATATTCTACCCATCTCGTGTTATTCCACTCAACAAAACGATATCTAATTATCAGTTTGTCAACTAGCTTCTTCCAATTTTATTCCTTAACGCTATTGTTTCTTAGTTACGCATCTTCACTAAAGCCCCTGGGAAAATAACAATACGTTTCAATAACTATTAATAACTAGTAATAGTTGACACTACAGCTGCCCCCGTTCTGTATATTGTGGGTCAATAGTATTCTTCCTGGTTGTGTAGCTCTTTAAAATATACCGATTCATAATGAAGATTTTTCACACATTTCCATACAATAGGTGAGATAAATACAGGAAACGCAAGGTTCCATGCACAGTTTTAGCTCGATTTACACAGCTTTGATCAAAGCATTCTCAGTTTCGAGAATAGTTTACTCCAAACCATACGAAAAGATTTAATTAGAAGTTGAATTTTTCACTATTTCTCTTTCATTTTTACATTCAGTTCATTTTATGTGCCGGAAAGTAAGCCTTAGAAATTAAAAGGACGTTTGATCGATTCACGCTCGCGCATTCTAGTCTTATTTGAAACTTTATAACGCAAGGGCATCTGTGAGCAGGGAAAAAGGCAGCACAGAATTTGATTGTCGGCCAATTCATGTAATTGTCCATAATCTGCTAGTGATAAGCTAGCCGTTGTTCACTCGTCTTCCTTGTTTGGGGCTGAGTCTTACTCCGGTCAAAGAGAGAGAAAGAGTGTCTGGCAAGGCTTCCAATATAAATCAAAGATTTGTGAACTCGTGTCTGGCAAACCTCCAAGTGTTTATATATACACAGTTAAAAGCACCTTATAACCTCATCTGCGCTTAACGAGTGTCTTTTGGCCCATAACTTTCAAAACAACTGCTGCACAGAATGTCACTGCGTAACGCAAAAGAGTATCGAAGTATGACTGCACAATAAATGTCACAAAATCTACCTGAGCGTTCCCTTCGGAATTTTCTGTCTTTACGTCATCCTAACCTAATAGAAACGTCATCATTACCTACCGATTCCTCGCGGCCCCTGTTCGAGCAAATCGAGATTTTTTCTAGTATACTGACTGTATATTTGAACTGTAAGTACTGTCCTTAATATACGCGCGAGTTACTAGGGTACCTCCTCGAAATCCCTGCGGGGGTAATAACTCTTAATGCATCAGTCAATTCCAGCTGCGCACCAGTCAATTCCATTCTGTTCGGAAGACGATTTGAGATCTAGAATTTTCGGAACATTTGTTGTAAAATTTCTTGCTTGCCCGCCTCTCCTAGGATTTTCGAACAACTGAAAAATGGTATAATTGCCCATTTTTAACGAATTTGTACCCTAAAAAGGTCACCTAGAATTTTCGAAAAGGTAAGTTTTGATCGCTATAATGTTCGGATCATTAGACTTTCAGCTAGGAAATCCGAACAGATGAAAAATTTTAAGGGGATAAAAATATGCCTATATCTACCGTTTAAATACCGGAATACGTTTGAGAATGCCATGTTTAAGTGGTTTTGAACTATATTCTCGTTGGGTGTCCCTGATTTCCCTGCAAACACTTTTTTAAGAATATCGTGTTTGCAAAGAATTTATTTTGTATTTTCAGACCCTGCAAACATTTTTTCCATATTTCTCATCCCCCTCCAGAACTGAAAACAATGGTCCGTCCCTAAAATAACAGACGACGAATTGGATAAGGGCACAATTACGCAGACGTAGGGAGCTTTTGTCGGTCAAAAACAATGTGGTTAACAAACTTACACAAAAGTAAATAAAAGTCTGAGATACAAGCTTGTTGGCTTAATTAATGATAGTAATCAAGAGCCCATTCTGGCTCTTGTAGCAATATTATATTCTCCATCAGTCTCTGAGCTATGCTCCTCCAAATTAATTGTTAGGGACGAACCATTAGAAATACACAATCAAATATCATGGCGCCTTTTTTCAGTCTTCTCGAATCTTGCATTTAACACACTTTGAAGGTGTTTATTATTAAAACAAAATTGTATGGAAATTTATTGTTGGAAATTTCCATTTTAAATGTGGTTGACAAAAAATCATGAATCTTAAATTTTTAGGCATTGTTTTAAGCTTCACTTTCTCTACATGAATTTTTTTTTTCGATACCATCGCCTTTACAATTTTTTTTCAGACAAGTTTATTTTACGGGATTTTTTTCTTCGGGAATTATCACCCCACTTTAATTGGTAAATAGGTTTTGATTTTATTATATATGTGACCCTCCATATGACTTCAGGGACAAAGGTGATAACACGCTCACAACACGGTAACACAACACGCTTAGTGTGTCCAAAGACACACTTTATGCGCATAATTAATTGATCAAACAATCAAGGACACGCAATGTATTGTTTCGGTGTAGTTAACACGCTAACCCTTTGTTTTAGTTGAGTGTGATCGTTCACACTCTTTTACACGCTTAGCGTGCAAGTTGACACAGAATAACACGCTAAAGCTAAACAAAACGTACCTTAGAAATCACTTATGTACAACCCAAGTCTTTTGTTGAACTCAGTTGTGATTATCAGTTAATAACTCAAGTGTAACGAATGAATTTTAAACGCAGTTTAGTTCCAAACACGACGCATAATTCACCAATAATATAACATATGTTGATATTAAAGCTAACCAGTCGCACAAATTCGTTTGGATACAAGTTGATTTAGACGAGGTGTAACTCTAAATTTCGTGCAGTTTGCTTATGGGATTAGAACCAGAAATATTCACGAAACATCTTTTCTTGTTCGATCAGGCGCAAACCATAGCTTATGTTAACGAAATTTTTTTGCAGCCTACTGCTTTAATAAGTTCGCATCCAAACTCTAATTTGTTATAGTAAACACCCACAACCCCTTCAACAATACCGAGACTTTCAGGAAAACCCTTCGTTTTATTAATATTGCCTGAGGCAACCTCGCAAAACACCTTTTCTACTGTAGGGCCTGTGGCTGGTATTTCGAAAATCACTACTTCCAAGTCGATGCGAGCGAGCGCTACAACGTTATAAGACTGCGAGCAGTCCTTCTTTTGCTCAAAAATCTGGGTTGTATCAGTGAACGAGTGCGATCAGCGAGTTGTTTGGGCGTGCACTGGTGCCCGCACAACTTGCTGCTCGCGGCTTTCCCGCTTGTTTACTCACATGTCGCACTCGAGCACAGATTTTCGAGCAAAAGAGAGACTGGTCGCAGTCTACATTTGTTTACGGTAACCATGGCAACACAAGGAAAATAAAGCATCTCCTTTCTATCATACCAAAGTCAGTGTATCATCAGTATCATGGAGTTTTCTCGAAAAGAAGTTTCTTGCATGCGTGTTAATTCCGACGATGTGGATAGTATCCGTGAAGTTACCGAGTTGTACTTTGAGACGCGAGATTGTGATGAAAATGGAGAAGCTAGCTTTACACCAGATGACGATAGCAGCTCCGAAAGCGAGACCGAACTCGATCAAGATGAGGAGTTTGACATTGATAGCTCTGAAACAGACTTGTCGGAAAATGCAAAGGCAATGCCTTCTACTCAAACACATGTCAGTGCAAATTTGGGGAAAATGAGCAAGCATGTAGCAGAAGTATCACAATTAGTGACTTCTTGGACAGTCGAAACAACTGCCATGAACTTTCCTCCACGGAGCTTGATTTCGTCATTTTGAGAGCGATTCAAAGTTCGCTAAATTGCAGTGATGTGGGCGCCTCAGGAAGAACAGAGAAGAACCGCAAACTATCGCGAATGTCCTTTTTCTTTCACGGTAAGAGAATTTGCAGAAAGACATTTTTGTTTTGACATTGCATCAGCAAGAACAAATTTTGTAGCCTCGTAAAACATTACCGGGACAACGGTTTGTCGCTCCGCGTACATGGCAACAAAAAGCGACTTCCGAGTTGGACTGTTCCTTCAGAAACTGTCGAAAAAGTTGTGAAATATATACTGAACATTGCCGAAGAGCAAGCTCTTCTTCTTCCCGGGCGTGTTCCTGGATTTCAGAGAACCGACGTACGTTTGCTACCGTCCGTCCCCACAAAACATCGTCTTTGGAAGACGTACTGTGAAATTTGCGCAAGCCATGGAGAGCAAAGGGATGGATATTCAAAATTTTGTGATCTCTGGAACCAACTTTGTCCATTTGTTTTAATTATGCGTCCGGCGACAGACTTATGTTGGACTTGTCAAAAAAACAACAATTTAATTCAGAAATCAGCAAATTTGCCGGAAAATCAGAAAGTCGAGGCCGTAAGGAATCAGGAGGAACATCTTCGTCTCGGAGAAAGAGATTTTTACAAGAAATGTTGCCAGGAATCAAAGGAAAGTGTTGGGCGAAATCTTCAGGAGATTGATTTTACTATGGGACGCGAACCTTGTTCTTATCAAGGCACGGTTCATTATTCGTACGATTATGCGCAACAGCTACACTACCCATCGGATCCGCTTCAACCAGGGCCAATTTATTTTAAAACCCCCAGGAAATGTGCAATCTTTGGAGTCTGTTGTGAAGCGATACCACGGCAGCTGAATTTTCTTATTGATGAGAACGTGTTAACTGGAAAGGGAGCAAACAGCACCATTTCGTACGTTATATTATGTATGTTATATTTTCTGAGTTATAGATATATTTATGCGCTTGGACAGTTATATGTTATTTTTGATATCATTATTACTACCATTATTTTTATTCCTGTTGTAATTTATTTGACAATGTACCTTGATACGTTTTTTGTAATATTGTAAAACGTCTAGAACAGCTAGTGGCATAGACGGACGCTATAGAAATAAAGTTTATTATTATTGTTATTATTATTATTGTTCTTATTATTATTACTTCCGGTCATTTCTAATGGCCCGTCTCTTATCACATTGTGCTTTGATGTACCAAGGTTTTCTCCCGTCGCGCGTATCTCTCGTTTTACGTCCGCTCGCTCCTTCGAATTCGCGTAATTGCGCCTGTTCAGCAGGCTAGACAACAGCTGCCGGATTTTCTCCTGTTTTTATTTATTACTTATAAAAATCTGCTTTTAATTGACATCAGAAGCTCTTAGCAACCAAGCTAGAGAAAGTGTGGTTTTCTATTATTTCCAACCGCATGAAACTTTCTCACGCCTCCTCGAGGCGAGAATTTCCTTAGTACATAATTCTTCACATAACAACTAAGAAATTATCGCTGATCACCATACATGGTCACGCTTCATTAACAAGCATCCTGAGGGGACAAATGAACTACTGGAAGCACATCATCCTCAAAACACCTGCCAAATCTTGCTTCAATTTTTCTTACTAATAACTTCAAGAGAAACTGAAGTCAAAGAGAATATTCTGAGCTACCACTTCCGTTAATGAACAGAGGCTGAGTTGAATTATTGAGAGGTAAGAAATATTTTATTACATATTTAATGCCTTGGGTAGATTGCAGGTTTTTGAGTCTCACGTACTGTTGAGTTAGCAATTGTTTTTAAAAGCCTGCCAACGCTAAACTCATGCTTCACATTCCACTGGCTGGGTAAGGTGTTATCCGACTTCAGTACTGAGACACTTGATTGCTACAATTACGTACAATGTGTGCCGGTATCTGCTGTTTAATCGTTGGGTTTAATCTTTTGCTCGAGGACAGTCAGTTTTCCTAGGATCTAGCCGTAGCTCAAACATAATTTGCATATAGAACAAGTTTCTGCCATCCAAATAACTTTTGGGGGTTATTTGTATATTTGATTTTCGCTGCTGGTGATTAAAACTGATTACTTAAATCGTGTTTTGAATTTCCTCGTATAATTGTTAAGCCTCTAGATTTTTCTGCCATTAACATTCAAAATAACATTTTCTGTTTGCAAAAAACGGAAACGTACTGAAAAGATTTTGAATCGCATCCGCACGCTGGTAAAGTATTTTAACAGAGAACCCCAACTCAAATACAAGGAGAATAAATCAACAGACACACGTAAGATTCCACCTGACTCTTTCTCCTTAAGGGTTCAATGACAACATATTGTTCTACATAACGTATATTTTAAAATCTTTGAATCAACGTTATCTTGTGATTTCAGTGGCAAAAATGGCTGGGAAATTTAACGTCAAGTTCTACCCGCTCAATTCTGAAATGGACAGTGTCAGCTTTGAGGAGTCCTTGGATCCATACTCGGCGTTCCGTAAAGCATCTGAGGACTCCACAGTACCCGATCAACCTCTCTGGGGTATCTTGGTATGGCAGGTCGTCGGCATCTTCCTGCTGGGCTTCATATTTGTTTGTGAGTTGTTTGGTTTTTTTTAATTAGAGTCACCGTTATTATACCCAGACACATAAGATGTCATATAGCCATATTTCGTTAAAGGTTTTTTACATCTTTTTTTCTGTCTGATTTGAATTGTGACCCAGCTGCAAGGCGGTAAGTCTCCTAAGAGCTCTGCAAGGCGATGAAATTAGACTTTCAAAAAAGTCCTTCGTCGGATTTAATATGGGGCGAGACGAAGAAAAAGCGCCCTGGGAACGAGATTGCGTAGAGGACAATTATTTTCCAAAGCAAAACTTCGAATTTTCTAATGGTTTTAATCCAACTACCTCGTTTTTTCAATAAGTGTGTTTTCTATTACCTATATGTTTGCTCTGCATTATCTATGGAAAACCTATCACCAGATAGACACTGTTGTGACATATCGTGCCAAGTGAATGTCCATCAAAAACCACGTGCTTGCAAAGCAAAATCCTTCGTCAAGGCCGTCACGTTGTGTAGCGACCGCTAACCTGCACGTGCACTGTTTCAAAAACGTGATTAAAGTCCTTTAGCACGTATTAAAGGTTGGTTCGGCAGCCACAGCTAAGTTATAACTTTGACAGATATGGCTCAAGGACTATTGTAATTGGCAGAAAATTTCTTGCCAAGATTAAGCACGTAAATGTCTTAAAGGGATTACCATGAAAATAAATTTTAATCGAAGGGTGCTATGGCTATTAAAACTCGTGGATTAATTATTTAAGAAATGAAAGCTGATAATTACCTTGGAATTTAATAGTCTACTGGTATAATTTCAGTCTGTCAAAATGAAAATATGTTTAATAAGTAGATTTGTTGCTAGCAAAGTAGCGACAAATGGGGATGCCCGAGATGACAAAGGGCTGCAGTTTAAGCGTTCGTTCGCAACCGAATGCTTCCCCGGTTTGCTCCCAGCGATTTTTTGGTCTGGGAACTCAAAAATTTTCTGTTGCAACTGAAGTCTAGCAGGTCACCAGCTAGACTTCAATTATAACGTGACCTCTCAAAACCTCCTCAACAGTCTGGGTCGTATGGATTAAATCGAGTCATTTTGCGTGTTATGGCAACTCGACCAGATGCTTAGTTAAGAGTAGGAGGGAGACTTACAGAAGAGAGTGAGAGAGTCTGAACATAACGCCTTGGAATCAAGTAGAGTTACCGATATTAAAATGCATGAATTGACCACTTTCAGACTGAATAACTCAGCTACTTTGACTTATGAAGAACCTGAAAAACTTTAATGTTACGATTTTCTTTTTTCACCATTTACAAACAACTTTTGGAGCTTATTGAAGGTTTATGTCAAATAAAAAAAATTATCAGACTTAAAACCTATGCAAGTCTTGTCTGGAAGGAAAACTAGGATTGATATTTTTCCAAGATACCTTTAGAAACTAAAACAACGGTCACCTGCAACAGTTTGTAATTGTCCGGGAAGAGTAAACTTATAAGTATCGTGTTGAAAATAATCTTGCCTTGAATAAAGTCCCTATCATTTAATACCGGCTATGAAAAACTACAACATCTTTTACACTTACACGTAGGATTGAACTACTAATTTTAATTCCAATTCTCGTTAATAACCAAGACAAAACATCAAGCTTTTGAAATTAACCAAAAGATAGTATTTTTATATCTCAATTGCCCCGGGGGTAACATGATATCAGACACACAGACAGATAGTGATCGTATCTTGAATCTTGAGTTGTGCCTTGTCTCTCTTCAATAGCGTAACGTTAAAATTTTAGTTAAGAAACGAAATTACCTACTTTTTATCCAACCGTCCGAAAGCAGCTCTTGGATTTTCCTGTGCTAGGCGCACTTAAAGACGTTTTAAAGCGGACTCTTATCTACTTGGAACTCTGTCATTTCAAGCAAGATTCAAGTTCGCAGGTAAATATTTAAACACTGATATGATTACGAAACATCTCAGCAACAACGTTGACACTCCAATAAATTCAGCCTTGATTGTCATGGTGCTGCAATAGGATTCACATTCAAAATAATCGAAGCACTGTCAACAGCGATTGATAACATGACTTGAATGGTGAATTCAAAAACATGGCACGCCGGTGGTCTACCTTTAATTTAATAAGGAAAGAAACTATGTTTGCTATACTCAGTGATAGAATCGATCAAAAACAAATAACAGTACCTGAAAATAAATAAACTTTCGCTTAAAAGATAAACGTACCTCGAAATAATTCACCTGACTTGCCGGTATCCAAGAATATTATCAGTCAAATTTTAATAGATGAACTGAGTATGAAATGTGAAAATTACGCGTATGATTGTTATCCTTAAGAAAAACGAAGAACACATTTTAGTCATCTGACTTATTGAATGGAACAAGGACAACGATAGTAGCGGGAAAAAGTCGCCAAATCTTTACTCACCTGACAATGAATATGCCTGATAGACCTTCAGTCATAATGGTCACGTACGCTCAAGTAGTTTAGGCCCTGGGTCTGATAGCTTTACATTTGGAAAATGATTATTGGCTATAACTTCGGCACATATCATGGATCGGCAACGAAATTTGCCACACATAAAGAACTCATCGTCCTTAACATTTTAAAGTCTGAATAGTGTGCTAATAAGTCATGTGATATGTCACGTGACCATTTTGCTAAAAATCTTAAATAATTGAGAAATTGGTGGCAGGTTTAAGGAAAGAAGTCGAGGGATAACATTTTTCTCATTCAGATTAAATATCTCTAACAGTTAACGTTTGGAATGACCGTCTATTGCACTTCAATAAAAAATTATGAGGTAAAACTTCAAGATTTACTTTTGAGGAAAAATTCATTTTGTTTTTGGTCTCCTAGCGAGACATATTGTCATTCAATCATTTGCTCCGAAACACCTTTGACCACCTCCTCGAAATAAAGAGGATAGGCATCCCCTAAAATTGACAAAACAAAAACAAAACGATCAAAGAAAATAAAAAAGTAAGAGAAAATAAATTTCCTACTACGGAAGCAGAACTCCAGACCCTTAGTTAGTGAGGTCAACGCGTTTTCGATAGCGCCACGACAACTACTGTTAAAGAGTAATGTTAAATTAATCATTTTTAACATTTTTGCCCATGAAATTCTGCTGGTGGACGCTGTTTGAGGCTGGTAGAGCTTTATTTTTTGAAGAATTGAAAGATATATTAGAGGAAATAAGCAGGGTTTTGACAGTAAAAACCGTACTTTAACTCATTTTGTTGCATTTGAAGAATATATTACCGCCAAAGCGATATTAAGTGTCTCGCAAAACCGACGCGAAGTATCTTACTGACAGCGTTGTACAACCGCATTTCTCATTTACATGAGGAGAATCAATTACGAT